ATATCGATATATTTTTGTCAAATTTTTATGATATCDTCAAACATATATTTTATTCAAAAATAAATACATCATTGCTTTCTCAAAATCACATAAAGCCATATTATAACATCGACTAAGATAAAGAATAAAATGAAATATTAAAAACACGATGAGAAAGGGTTAAATATATAAAATAGCAACTCACTTTCATAAATTTTTTTATTATAGTATTTTATTTTTATTTTTCTTTATCACAACAATGTATTTTTAAATTATTTTTTATTAAGACATCACACTTTAAAAAATCTACCTATTATAGCAATGAATAACTTGTTACCTTTTAAACCAGTTAACCCCTTGACTTTTTTTTGTCTATATGATTTTAATGAGGTGATGTGGATGACACATCACTTTGATGACTTAATTAAAATAAATATAAAAATCTAATTCAAATTATTATTAGTGATTTTCATTTTTTATTGCTATGATTTAAAAAACATTTAATTTTTTTTGACCTTTTTTATTAAGTTGCATGCATATTGAATATTCTAGAGTAAAATATTTCTTAACTAAATATGCTACATTATTTTCGAGATATATATTTTTTTGTAAAAAATACAACACTTCTTATTTTATGTTGTTTAAAAAAATATTTTTTAAAGTTCTCTCTAAATTGTTAACAAAATAAATTGTGTTCTACAATTTTTTAATATTGTTATATTAATAAATAATTCAAAAAAAATCTAATTAATTTAATATATTTATACGTCTAGTAAAAGTTCTTGAACAAATATAATATATTCTTTAAAAGATAATATTTTTTTGGTAAAAAGGAATAATTCTTATTTTCTTTTTTCAAGAAACACGTATATTTTTTAAAATATTAACGGGATAAATTGTCTTCAACTAGTTTTACTAATATTGGTATATCAATGAATAATTTTAAAAAAAAAAATTAATTCATTTAATATATTTATTAAATAACATATAAAATATCTAAATATTTAAATTAAAAGTACATTTTTTTAATAAGAACTGGTAGATGTTATAAAAAATAATTTTGAAAGTGCAATGTTGTATGTGGATAGCCTACATGGACAATGAGGTGGCATGAACACATGTTATAATGAGTAAATTTAAATTAAAAAGTTACTCAATGCTATAATGGGTAAATTTTTCAAAATACAATGTTCTAATAAAAAATAATTTAAAAATACATTGCCATAATAAGAAAAACTGAAAGTACAATTCTATAATAAAGAAATTTATAAAAATAAATTATTATTTTATCCATTTTGCCCAAATTAATATTCTACCATAAAAGACCAAATGAACCCTAAACACTAACAAAAATCCCTTCATATAATATTTAAAAAACAGAAATAAATAATAACGAAGAAAAGAAAAGTTGCCAAACCGAACCAACCCTTTGTACATCTCTTCGTGGTTTACTTCAATGGAAGCTGTTTTCTTACCACACTTGTTCACACATGTACATGGGATTCGGAAGAGCCTTTAAGAAGTTCCGGGATAATATCAACCACTTAACGTCTCCATTTGGTAGCCTCACGGATAATTTCATTACCCTCAGTAGCAAGATCGCGTCCCTCATTACGAATTTCAAGAATTGGGTCGTAATAAACGATATAATTGACAACTCGATTCGTATGCAACAATTTGCCCGGTAAGTGCATCAGTAAGAGTTGTGACCTTACCGAGCAAGACTCTTCACCTTATCATCGCCCTTATTGGGTAAGATTCTCGGCCTTTGACATGTTCATTCAATCATTCGATAAGGTAAATGACCCCGGGTAAGCGTTCATTAAACAGCCCCAAACTCTTTTCGAATAGTCTTGCAGATAACTGTCGTCATCATTGCAATACTGTGTCTGACGTAATAGTATACGACCAGCGCTTCCTCCCATGCCACTAAACTTCCGGTCATTCGATTGCTTATCTAGTCTTTTCAGCTTGATTCTCTTGTCCGATTGGACGGGGCGGGGTACTAAATGAGTTGGGGTAGAGTGTATGCCGGACGGTGCTAACAATCTCTTTGGTGACAGTCGCCTCATTATTCCTGGAAAAACAATGCAACTTCATAATTTATAAGCATAGCAAAATGCAACAAAGTTACGCATTAGTTTCTTTTCAGTGTGACCAAGTTCCAAAATTTTCTACTTCGAAACCATTTTTGACAAGCAAGACATTTGCTGATGTGGATGCCAAGTTGTCAATCAATATATTCTCGACCACTACACCTTGTTGATCCAAAATTGTATCTTCGTAATCAAGATAACTTGATAACTTAGATATCCACGATATCAAATGTCATCAGTAGGTTAATGGTCAAAACGGAAGAATTTTTCTTTGGTTACACTAAATAGGAACTAAAGCAAACTTGATGCATTTTCCGCGTATTCTATGAGTATACATTTGGGGTCAGGTTTCTTTTGCGATGATTTATCGTAAATATTAAATAAGCAGGAATAGAGAAAGCATACCTAGAAACACGAAACCCAGGCAAAGTAGCTACCTCCTTAAGGGCTGCCTTCCATAAATCCACCTTTTCCTTCCATACCGTAGATTTTTTATACCACTGTAATGCGAATTTTTTCTGATGCTCCCTAACATCTGAGGGTTCGACATCATAAAACACGGGTAATACAAAATGATTTGAATTCTTCCTCTGCTCAAGGATCAAGAGTAGCTCATTAAGGCAACGAATGGAACTTGCATAGTTCTCTGATAATACAACAATCGATGACCTCACTTCAGTTGTTTGCAGATATCCACCTCCAGCCATCAAACGGAAGTATGGGGATATCTGAAGTCCGGTTGTCAGTAACTCATGGCTGAGTTGAACTTTGAAACTTTCATCCGTAAATATGTGGTCGTAACTCAAGTAAACGTCGAAGCTGCTATACTTTTCCCAAGGAGAAGCCACTGTACTCGAGGAAGATGATGCAGATGGAAGTTGATCCAACAGATCCTGGATTAAGGGATCAGACAAGTGGAGTGGTGAGCACAAGTTTTTGTACCCAATTTTCCCTTTTTCCTCGACCAAATTTCTAACTTTCTAGCCAAAAGAACGGCAAACCATGCCACAAATAGTGGTACCGCAATTGCGTACCTTGATGATGAAATTTTGTAGAGGTCAAGGACCACTAACCACTAGAGCACCCTATTGACACCCAGGCTAAATTACCTTTTTTGGCGAGTCACTGGATTCAGATTCCGTGGCAGATTTCATTGTCTCCTTGGCTGAGCTTGATGCGAACTCCATAGCATCATCAACAAAATATGCTTTAGACATGTCCATGTCCATATCCAGAGACTGTTGGTAGTAAATTTGTGAGTTGAAAGCAGAGTAAATCTCCTATTCAAGAAATATTGAACTCTTTTCTTTCATCTGCTAAGCTTAATGTTAATATTTAAATTACCTCTGATTCAGATGTACCCTCAGATTTCACTGTCTCCTCGAGTAACCTTGATGTGGACTCAAGAGTTTCATCGATAATAGATGCTTTAGCCGTGGTAATGTCCCCAGACTGTTGGTAGTAAATTTGTTAGTTGTGGCAGGGTAATTTCCTGTACAAGGAAATATTAAGCTCTTTTCCTATTATTACGATGTTCAATGTTAAATTACCTTTGTTGCTAAGTGACCTAATTCAGATGCAGTAGGAGATATCATCGTCTCCCAATGCATGCTTGATGTGAACTCCGAAGTTTTAATGTCACAAGATGATTTAGGCATCTCCGTAATGTTGTAACTTTGCTCCTGTTTATTTTGATAAACACCAGAATAAGCAAAGCCTTGTTTATCACATTACTTCAAATCGTATTAACATCAAGTCCCAGAAAAATAAACTAAACAGTTAAGGCAAAATACATACCATTGCCATGTTAATCTCATATTTTCTTTGATTACAAACTTAAATCAAAAAATCACATACTTGCACTCCCAATTGCACCACATTTTCATCCAATCTCAATCAAATTGCCTAACATAAATCATGGTTGAGATAATGAACACTGTCTACATTAAATTGTTCTTGTCCTCGTATCTAAAATGACCATTTATTTTAGTTATATACGTATATTACTGAAAATCATACATTAATAAGCAATCAACTGCATGATTCTATAGATATGTAGTGAGATAGGATGACTGCAGTTCAATTTACTTAAATTTAGGTTCCTTGTCTTATGCCAACTGCTTAGATGGGATACAAAGTCGCACAATATAACTACATTTAGGCCCTTTATCTTATTCAGGTAATAAATTCATGTCAAAAATGATATTGCAAAGCATACTTACCGTTCCAGGACCATGGATAATGCAGCTAATAGTTTTCAATTCCATAAATGATTGATTCGACTCCTGAGGTCTACCTGTCTTTCTCCATCCTCGTACCTCTATAATAACGTGTGATATGAGGAACTTCCTCTAATTGCAACTTAATAAGTAAAAACTCCAAGAATTAGCTCGACAAGAGAAACATACCTGCATAGTCAATGGTATCACCAACTAAAATCCTAAACCAACCAGGAGTCAGTCTGCCAACCTCCATTAACTCAAAGAAATCGCGCCTACAAAGATAATATGCTCCTGTGCATAGTTGAAATCCAGACAAATCTCCTCCTAGAATTTCTACCCATTCCACTTCACTTTGCAAGGTCTCATTTGCTATTTCATCATCTGTGTACACAAGGCTTGCACCACATTCGCTTATTTCCAATCCGTTCATCACAGCGATAGACACATTAACTTTATCTCCAACGGCCAATGTGTTTCCAATTGGCCAATAACTTAACCATATACCAACTTCACCCAATGCAGGCATGCCGAAGACTTTGGGGTTGTACATAATATCAACACCATTGCTTGTACTAATTTTAGCGAACCATACCCAATCCTCACCTGATAACGTATACTTGAAAGTTACGTCTATTCCCTTGAGCCTCTTATCCTTGGGACACATAGGCACATCGAAGGACACAGATGGGAATTCTGATATATACTCAGGCGTAATGTTTGGATCCTTTATATCTGGCAGAGAAATGCTCATTATATTGAATTCATACAACATCTGCACCACACAAGAAACAGAATTTGGTCATTTATATATTAATAATTATTGTGCTTGTGTTCGATAAAGAAACAGAGAACCTGGAGTTGACAACTTCTGACTATGGTGAGCTCATCATCACCAACCAGACACACCTCATGATTCTGATGTTCTTTTAGCCACTCCATATGTCCTAAATCAGCCTCGTTAAGTTTGACAAGTGGCACCAATTTGATAAAGCCTTCAATTTCGTACAAACTAATACAACCTTCATAGCCAAACTCTTGCAATGTGAATCGATGTGATTGGAAAGTTATTTTCTCCAGAGAGACACAGTAATATACATACAATTCTGCAAGTGTACTAGGCAGACATAGAATCCATATAAGTCTTGAGCACAAAGTCAAGTCAAGAACACGAAGACTTTTAAGATGATTGTAATTAGGCAGGAATTCGAATAGATTATTGCCTAAATTCAAGTACTGCAAAAAAGATTGACTACTGAAACTCAGAGGAAAAGAATCACTACACTCAAGATAGCAGTCCTTTAGCAAAACCCGATATAATGAATGTGGCAAGGAAAAGGTAGGTTGTTCTATAACTCTTCCACCAGAAGTTGAAGCTTCTACCCCTTCTAACAGATCTGTATGACCCCTCTTGCACACGTGTTCACACCCTGTCATGTCCAATAGAGCAAGATTCTTAAGGCCTCCAATGGTCTCACAAATGTGAACCAAACTGTGGCAGTTCCAAAGAATCAAAGTCTCAAGATTAGGGAGTTTGTAAATATTGCGGATTTCGAATAGACTCTGCGAGTCTTTAAGATTTAAAATCTGTAATGATTGAAGAACCTGTTGCAAAACCAAGAAGATTTATTTATCCCTGTAAACTGATTGAAAGATCATCAGAAAATGAGAAGCTCAAAGGCCAAGAGATAAAAGGAGGATCCTGAATTCCCTACCATTGGTGGGTCAAATACTTCCAAGCAGCTATAGCTCATATCTAAAGCGACCAAGTTTCCCATGAATAAGTCAGAAGGTATGGTTCTTAAATGGAATCCGGGCCAGCAAATCCATCTTAAATGTTCTGAAAAGTTCTCATAGGATCCAGTGAGTGGCACATATTTGAGTTGGAGCAATTTTAGGTTATCCATCTTTTGAAGTGAATCCGTCATGAGGCCTGATGTCTACAAGTTCAGAAAAAAAAAAAAAAAGAGTTAGTATGCTTACCTCATATCGAGACTTAAATGCACCAAACACACACTAAATATTATAATATTTATCAGTTAGTAGATGGCTGTCTAATGATTGGGTTTTTAATTGAAAAAGAATATTAAGAGAGAATCAGAACTGCATAACGAAGGAAAATTAATCCTAAATAACTATGCAAATGGATATATAATAGACATTATGGAAATATATCTCACACTCCTCAAGTTGAAGCATAGATAGAAGCCATGTCCAACTCGCTCCAACAAACTCAATTTTTGACTCCTCTATAATTGTTGGATTGAGATGACCACAAGTTGATCTGTGGTCATCATATGCATTGACCGGATAGAAGGCAGATTTGAGGTTTTCCGACAAGGTCATAAACGAAATGACAATCTACCTCAATGTGCTTAGTTGTCTCACAAAATCTTGATTCTTGGCTTAATGGAAAATATTTTGATCATCACAATGTATCATTAGTTTATCCAAGGAAGTCCAAAGCTCATGAAACAGAGGTTTGGTCTAGATGAGCTTGGCCATGGGATGGCTTTTGCTATTACATGATGCCAGATTTCCACCAACAAACACATAGTAACGGGTGGCGGATCTCCGAATAACATGCAACCCAATCATCATGAGCAAATCCAACAACCTATCAACATTCATCGGTGAATGATCCTACACTGAAGTGTCTCTGGCAGAGTTAGGCAACTGCAACAAAATAAGCAATATTTGGTTGTGTTGCGTCATGTGTGCTAACAAAACAATCAAGTTTCTGGGCACGTCTAAACCTCTCCGGATACACGCCTCACCTAGAAGCTTCGTTACCCTAAGTGGTCAGAAAATATACTGGGAGCAAACTTGCACATACAACATCATTCCTTGTTAGGGATGAGTGACCACTATCCCAATAGATTATCCGAGTCCCCACAATTCTATAACATTCAAATGTTCTCCAATGAAGTTTTTTAGCTCTTGATACATCACCCCCCCCCCCCCCATGGAAACAATGTCATCAACATATACAGATATACTAAAAGAAATCGTCTCTTGCCAGTGGATGTGTGCAGAAAACAGTGTAATCATTATAGCACCAAGATACAAACTGCTGGAAAACTACAGAATTGAAGAAACAATCTGTTAAGAGAATATTCGAGACCATGTGAGGACAGCCGGCAAACAGAACTTGGAGGCCCCATGAAAAATAAATCCAGGTGGTTGTAGAGCTTCTACTCAAGAAAGTTATTGAGGAAGACTTTCTTAACATCTAGCTAATGACGAGCCATTGACTAATGGTGGCTAAAAAAACACCGTTACAGATAGAGATCATTCTCGCCACCGGAGAGAAATTATCATAATATATATGATATGTGCCGAAGAGTACACTTTGGCAACAACCTAGACCGTGAGAGAACAGAAGGAGCCATCAAGATAGAGCTTGATGATGAAATCCACATTAGAGCCAATAGTACCCCTTCCATAAGAATAGGTCAAACCCATCACAAGGGGGTAGAGGTCAACATCGGGGAAAGACAATTATATTATACTAAGAAGATCTCCATAGTTCTTTGTTATATATAAAAGATCAGAGGTATTAGACTTGTGTCTTACCTTGAATGCACACTTCTCTTCCTTTAACATCTGCATGTCAAGTGCTAGACCTTCCAGTGTTTCTGAGCCCTAAATGGAAAGCGGACAAAGCAATAGAATTTAAGATGAAAAAGGAGGATGTGAAAGGGAAAATAAGCTTCAACATACACACAGGAAGCATCTTACCTTTCCTGTTCTCAACACATTATAAGATTCCGTATTACGCCACACTCTACTACGTTTTGCAGGGTCTTTGGGTGATTCTTGATGAACTATTGTTCTCCCCATCTCTTGGAGTAACCTATGCACCCTCAGTTTTTTGGTTGGTGAAACAGAAAGAAGGCATCTGTTATTTAGGGTTCTGATGCCAGATGATGCAGAGTAATCGTGCTCCAATATCTTCACCACATAATCCATGTCTTTGCCAATAAAGAAACAAACAATATGCAAAAACAACTCCTTGTTAGAGTCACGTGGCAACGAATTGTAGCTCCTTACAAGTACACGTTGAATTCCAGAATCAATCTCTCTTTCCAATAAATTCAAAGTACGTTCCCAATATAGGATGCTACTACTCTTCCGTAAGTCTTCTGCACTAACAAACAAAGAGGACCCCAACACTTCAAGAGCCAGTGGATTTCCTTCACAATAATGTACTGCCTGTAATGCAAGCTCCTCGAAACCTTCCATGGGAATTTTGGATCTAAAGGCATGACGACTTAAAAGCTCAAGTGATTCATCATCGTTCAATAATTTCATTTGGTATTTTTGACACCTCCAAGATCTGGACTCAAACCATTCTTCTGTACTTAGAACCCGGGTTGTTATAATAATCTTGCTTTGTGAATTAATCTTCCCGGTCCCAAGTAGAGCTACTAACTGGTACTGTTCAACGATGTCATCAAGAACAATGAGTGCCTTTTTTGTTTGCAAGGCCACCTCAATCTTATACATACCATGAGAAACACTGGGTATTTTTCTTTTCTTACCCCCTAAAATGTCTCCGAGAAGTTTCTCCTGTAGCTCAAGGCAATCATGGGGTTCTTTGCATCTACTACCTATGTCTTCAACAAAACTGATATTTTCAAATTTTTGCCAATTTGAATCCAAAATGTACTTGGCCAATGTCGTCTTACCACTTCCTCCCATGCCACAAATTGTTAAAAATTCTGCACCAATTTGCTTTAACCAGGAACTGATGTCGTTAAAACGAGTGTCCATCCCGGTTAGATTGGATGGAAGACTAACTAGCTTGAAATCTAGTTTATTGTGAATGGTATGAACAATATCCGCCAACAACTTTGTTTCAAGCCTGGAACGACAGAAAGAAAATGAACAAATTCAGTGGAATTGTTTGATCTGATACAACTAAAGAAACAAATGTTGGATAAACAAAATCCGCAAAAATGAAGTACAAATCGACCAATACATGTTTAAATTTGATTACAAGTAATTGTTTGGGAAAACTAGTAATTCAATTAAAATATGGTCTAAATATTAGAAGTACAATGATATGGAAGATATTACCGATGATTTTCCGGTACAAATAATCGATTGTCAAAACTATTCTCATTAAAAGACAAACAAACAACCGCTTAAACTGTTTAAGAACATAACAAATATAATTATATTGCATACAAAAACATCATGAATGAGTGTTGCTTTTTCAATCCAAAAAGTAAATATTTCAAAATGTCCCCAAAGATGCAATTGGCAGAGTTTTAAACCAAAATATTTCTTTTGCTCATTAGCTAGTAAATATGAAGGTTGTAAGGGCAGAGATGGAGACTGGTGTGGTGTGGTGTGGTGTGCATAGGGGATGGATGGCAAGCGAGGGGGAGGGGGTTGGATATATATATATATATATATATATATATATATATATTAAAAAAAGAAGAAAAGGGTTCTTGAAGATTATGAAAATAACACAAGAATCGAAAACGTTTATCYACCATTGATTTTGACATGAAGAAGACAAGAGTGAGTTGATCCGTCCCACCATCGTACGTTTCCCGCTCCTTATAAACTAATGCACAGTAATTTTTATCTATATCAGATTTTATTTGTTTATCTTTTAATATGGTTTTTCGTGAGACCCGTAATACCAATTTATGTTCATTGATCAAATTTATGAATTAATGATCTAATGGTTGCAAAGTTGCAAGGTGGCAATTTCGTAATTAGTGAGAAGTCTCGTGGCGTTTATAAATGTTCAGATCTGACGATTGTAAATCTAATCCAAGGGTTGAGAATTGGTCTTACGGGTCTCACGAAAAACCATTGGTCTCACGTGATCCCAAGTCTATATATATATATATATATATATGGGCCTAATCAAATGAGAACTAATTAGTTTGTGCTAACTGTGAGAACCAATATTAACCACAAATCAATAGATAAATTAGGAAATTTATAATTTTGGCAATTTTGAATTAAAATTTTAATGCAAGGATATTTTTGGTATTTTACAACTTTCCTCCCTCCTCTCTTCTCTCTCCGGCCACCGTCCTCCAGCCACCGTTCGCCGGCCACCGTCCTGCGGTGATACTACAATGGTATCACAATGCATCATATATGTGATTGGGTATCACATTGATGTCGTTTGTGTGATCGATCGAATATGTAACACAGTGGTATCACTATGCATCTTATATATGATTAGGTATCACAATGTATCTTTTGTTTAATAGCGTCAATATTTTTAGGTATCACAGTGGTATCATAGTGGTATCACCGGAGGACGGTGGCCGGAGGCCGGAGAACGGTGGCCGGAGAGAGAAGAGAGGAGATAGGAGAGTTTTAAAATACCAAAAATAGCCTTGCATTAAAATTTTAATTTAAAATTACCAAATTTATAAATTTCCTAATTTATCTATTGATTTGTGGTTAATATTGGTTCTCACAGTTACCACAAACAACACAGTTCTTCCTTGAATAGGCCCCTATATATATACACACACACGCATCAAATACAGTATAGAGAGTGTGTGTGTAAGGTTCAAAGGAAAACACCCAAAAAATAAAAATTGAGCAACAATGAATGCAAAAATGCATACAAGGAATCAAAGATGTATCTTGGTTTCTATGCACGTGTGCATGTTATGCACTCGTGCGTACCGGCAAAATTACTTACAAATTACTTGTATGCAGATCTGTTGATGTGATACTGTACAGATGAATGATTTACCAGTGTGTTCCTCAGTTTTCATTTTTTTTGCGATTTCCCCTGGACCTAACCCTATATATTTTATATATACATTATTTTTTATTAAAAAAAGACCAAAGAACGAAAATCCCCAAGTTTAACGGAGGAAATGGATGGTTATTGGGATAAGAGACCAAATCCAACAAAAAGTGCAAAAGATGAGTCGTAGTCTGTAATAATTGAAGTCCATGACCAATTTCATAACAACGTTCAAACCATAGTGACCAAATTCATAATTCACTCTAAAATATTTTTATCTTAATCACCCAAAAAAAAAATTATAATCTGGAGTTTGAGGTACTAATGATAAGCCATATTTTCTCCGATATCCAAATCACTCATTGTTTCTCTTGTAAATCAACTTTTCAAGTAATCTATTAAATTGAACTTTGAAGAATTCTTTTAATTAAATGAAATAGTTGTGGAAAAGAATTAATGTCTTGGACATAGGTGATAAAAAAATTCATTAAATTATCAAACAATTATATTTTATTTTGCATTATATTATAAGAACCTCTTAATCATTTTTACTACTGAATCATTCTACACCAAACCATTCAACAACTATTAAATTGTCCCTAAAATGGGTGCAGTTCATTGGGGGATGTTGTATTAGTATAAATATTTATCATAGATATATTATATACATTATTTTATTTTTTTATTTTTTAAAAAATAACTTAGAATTAAAAAAAAAAAAAAAACATATTACCCCTGAATCAAAAGAGCTAAGGTTAACAGCCTCACGGCAAGGGACTTGATCCATAATAAAAGTGAAACCACAGTGTCCATACAAGTAATTATTTCGTTTGACACGGACCTCATCCGCAATTTTCATATAACCACAAGGACAAATTTTGTAATTTACTCTAAATTTATTGATGGGAAAAAAGCATAAAAACTTGCAAGAGAAACCGGTAGTAATTTAAATATTGAAAATCACACATCATCACTAAATACTAATGCTACAAATTCCAAGATCTTTTCAGTTTCTTAATGTGGGACCTAAGATAAAACCTTAAAAACATAAAAAATTCCTAGTAAAGGATATTCACACTCATATATTCCTAGAAAACACTAAAAACAATGAATTTGAGAGTAGCCAGACATACCTAGTATAATACTATATCTATACTATATTATAAAGCATTTGATAAAAACTCTTAAAAATCGTTTTTTATGCATGAAATACTGTTTATTGATGCATATTATTTAAAATTCAAGATCACAAGTAAATTGTGCGTAAATACAACTTATTAAAGCTCCATGTTTGAATTTATGTAACTAACTGCGGATAAACATAATTAAATAGAGGATAAACATCTCAATTTAAAATATAATTATAATAATTAATGAATTCTAACAAAATAATTAATTATTATCTTTATAAAAAATTATATTATTAAACCAAATATAAATTAATTCGTTTTTAAATTTTAATTAAATTATAATAAAAATTTGAATCAAAGAAACTACATAAAAACGGAAACTTTTAATTAGTTTTTTTTTTAAAGGTATCCGAGCCAAAACTCGACTAATCTCAGGCACATCCAAGGCTAAAGCATGCCCCTTTGGTAAATGTCGCACAGGATGTGCGTAAAGGGATTCGAACCCGGGTTCAGCGCTATGAACTGCCCAGGCACTAACCACTTCACCACAACACTAAATAGTTAATTAATACTAATATCACTTATTTTTTGAATTTTATGATATCTTCAAATTTATATTTTATTCAAAAATAAAAACATTTTCTTTTTCTTAAAACCACGTAACATCATAATAATAATAATAGACCAAAAGTATAAAACGAAACATTCAAATCAAAGATATATCTCGTTACACTAATGTGCGAATACCCTTCTAGTTACTCGTAATCCCTAAAAGCAAGGGCAGATTTACATAGGAATAGAGAAGCATACCCGGAAAGCACCAAGCCGGCCAAATCAGCAACCTCCATAAGAGCCGCCGTCCACCGACTCACGTTCTGGTCGGTCCATTTTGAAGAGGTTTCGATTTCTATTTTGAAAGTTTTATCTTGCTTCCGGACATCAGCGGGATTGACGTGATAAAATACCGGTAAAACGAAGTGATTGCAGTCCCTCCTCTGCTCAAGGATCAACCAAAGCTCATCAAGGCACCATGTGGAAGTTGCATAATTCTCAGACAATACAACTACTGAAGCTCTAGATTCCTTGATTGCTCTTTTGATTTCTGGTTTCAGTTGTTCACCTCTATCCAGATCATTACTGTCCCTAAAAGTGCGAAGTCCTGCTCGCACCAACGCAGCATAGAGATGATCCGTGAAAGAATTACGAGTATCTTCGCCTCTGAAGCTTAGAAACACGTCGTATCTGCTAGCAGTAGCCACAGAAGAAGCCATGGAGCTAAAGGATGAAAGTTGAAGCTCTTAAATGGATAGAATATGAAGAAATCAAACGCCATGGCCTCCTAATAAGCAACAAGATGAGTTTCCTAGGTTGTCTCCGCCCTTCCACCATTGCCAACATCAATCTGAGGATTTAGTGGTTGCCTAAACCCTAGGCCACGTCACGCAAATGGACAGGGTTTATAATTTATTTTTCTTATTTTTATATTTAATTGATCAAAATGTTTGGACCAAAATAGAAACCAATTGAACAAATTCTATAAAAACTAGAAGGTACTCATACAATATAGTAAGATATATTTTTATTTTAATGTTTTTTTTTGTTGATATAATACGATTTATATGGTTTTGAGAAAGATAATGTTGTTACGATTTAATGAAATAATTTATTTTTGACTTAACAATAATATTTTATAAATATAATGATTTTATTAGAACTCAATGATTATCCTAATTATATTTTTAATTTTTTATATAAAAATGATATGTTTATCATGTATTTGATTATGTTTATCTGCAGTTAGTTATACGAATTCACAAATGAAGCTTTAATAAGTTGTACTTACGTATAATTACTTGTAATCTTAAATTTTAAGTAATATGCATTAATACACAATACTTTATACATAGAGAATGGTTTTTAAGAGTTTTAATCAAATGCTTTATAATATAGTATAGACTATTATTGTTTTCTTTTGTCAAATATAATACTAATTATTATTATTTTTATGAATACATTAATTATGTTATTTTTTATTGAATTTTAATTATATAATTAACGGTTCTTATAAAATGGTCTTATTTCATTTTTTATAAATATGATTTTTTTGGTTTCTTGGATAAAAAGGTCTCTTTTTCTGTTATCTGGTCGTACGCGTAAAACCTCTCAACTTCTAATAATTTGTCTTTTTACAACTATGGAAATTTCATTGTTTAATGCAATCCTTTTTTTTGTTGGTTTCTCGTTTCTTCGTTTCCTCGTTTGAATATCGCTTATAGCGTTGTTTTGTGTCTTCACTTTGTCACGTTTTCGTTTAATTGGAAAACTTTTTATCTAGTAATCTTAACCAATTTTTTTCATTTTGGAATCATACAAAAACATCTCTACTTCTTCGGTTAAAGAGGAGATTTTGTACATCAAACTATATCTAAACCTTGAGATTTACGGACTTCGTTTCGCTTTTGTTTGGTTTAAAATCATATATATATATATATATATAATATAACAGGGTTTGGTTCCAGTGAAAAGAAGAGTTAAGGTGAGAAACGTAAGAAAAGATCTTCACCATTTGATACGCATTAAGATGAGATGCACCAAGATACACCGGATCAATCCTCGTATCAAGCACGATTCATGAGTGGATTTGATATTAAAGGTGATCAATGGTCTAGATCCCTTATTACCTTAACTCTTATTCTCATACGATTATTCGTTTATATATATATGTATTCAAGAATTGGCTGATTAAAGGTTATATGATAGTTTGGGTATATATGTGAACAAATGTCAGGTTATGGAAAAACTGTACAAAAAAACAAAAAAAAACTGAGAAACATCATAACAATCGTTAAGTAATTTGTCCGGCATATGCACATGTACATTAATGTGTATACATAGAAATCAAAAAACATCTTCAATTACTTATATGTAATACGTATTACCGTACAAATAAATGATTATTATGGTGTTCATTTTTAAGAAGTTTTCGCTAAACCTCACTCACATGAAAATTTGATGGACTTTGATTTTAGTGATTCATACCAGTTCCATTTGGTTTTGCTTTTGAATTATAAAAGATTATTTTTTTTCTTGTTGATCTTTGATCGATTAACAGTGGCGGATCCAGGAAATTAATTTGG